CATGACCTCACGTTTACTGGCCCCAGCGCACAGCCTCAGCCCTATATGGAAGGGCGTTGTTACTTTTTCAGATGGAGAACTGGGGCTTAGAGAGGCTGACAGGCTTGCTCCCAGGGATGCACAGCTGGGCTGCGACCAATGGGGATTTTTTTTTTTGCCAACCGGGATTTTCAAACTGGGTTTGTCTGGCTCCAGAGAGATATTCTTTTTATCTTAGCACACAGCTGTTTCTTTTTAATGCCTCTTATCTCTGGGCAACCTGGACTTCCCCAGATAACCAGGATAAGAAAGGGCACTGAGTTGGAGACATCCGTGCAGAGATTTTAAGGAGTCGGAAGGGCTTCAAAGTAGGTAGAATAAAGCCTGTAGCACAGTGGTCCTCAACCTTCCTAATGCCGCGACCCTTTAATACAGTTCCTCATGTGGTGGTGACCCCCAATGTCATTGTTACAAATGGAACATAATTAAAGCATAGTGATGAATCACAAAAACAATATGTAATTATATATGTGTTTTCCGATGGTCTTAGGCGACCCCTGTGAAAGGGTCATTCGACCCCCAAAGGGGTCGCGACCCACAGGTTGAGAACCGCTGTTCTAGCACCATCTCCTCACCTCCTTCGGCTACCCCGTGGTTCTTGCTTTATGTTGTTTCTCCTGCCCTTGTCCCTACCTCCCCCCTTCCTCACCTCCCCCGCCTCCCCCTTCCCCCTCATTGCTGCAGGATGGACCACAGCGACTCCCCCTGGCTGGCAGACACTTGGCGATCCACCTCCTGCTCCCGGGACCTGAGCAGCAGCAGCAGTCTTAGCAGCCGGCTGGGAGTGGACCCCCGGGACCCATTAGACCGCCGGCGCTCCTGTGAGCATGCCCAGAGGCAGCCAGGGCCTGGCAGTGGAACAGAGACCCCAGGGCTGGAGGAGGGAGATGTAGGCAGGATGACTCACCATCACCCCTCCTGTTGTGTCTTATTGCAGTGATCTCCTGGGATCCCCGCAGCCCCGGGGTGCCCCTGCTTCCCGACACCCGCACTTTTTATGGCTCCCTCATCGCTGAGCTGCCTTCCAGCCCCCCAGCCCGGCCAAGCCCCCAGGCCCCAGCTCTCAGGCACCTCCGGCCCCAGCTGGCCCGGCTCTCCAGCCCCTGGCCCAGTTCCGACAGCCTCTGCAGCCGCCGGGGGCTCCCTTCCCCTCGCTTCTCTGTGGCCCCCGCAGAGGCTTGGAAGGCCAAAAGGAAGCAAGGTAAGGACGGGGTCGCAGACCCAGCCCGGAGCAGGCGGGAGGAGGGCCCAGGAGTGGGAATGTGGTGGGAATGTGGCCTGGGCCCTGGCAGGAGGTGTGGGTAGCACCCCACCCACAGCTTTGACTGGCCTGTCCTCCTGGATCCCCATCACTGACGCACTCGGCGAGGGCCATGCTGGCCTCAGCTTTTCTCTACACGGGCTCTGTTTTCAGTTTGGCCGCACCAGGAGCGGCCTTGCCTCTGCAATCGGCTCAACTCCACACGTTGATAAGCGAGCACCAGGGCCCAAGAGACACCAGACAAGGTCCTTGCCCCCTAAGGGCTCAAAGTCTAACACAAGTGCCTGACCAGCACACAGTCATTCCAGAACCTGGCAGGATGTGCCCAGAATGCGCCCAGTGCTGGCACCAAGGCTCTGGTTCCCAGGAACAACTCCCCTTGTGCTCCACACAAGTCTGCCCAGGCCCGACTCTCAGCTTGCTCCCCAGAGGAGCAGTGCCTTTCTGCCAAATCTCTCCTGACTCCCAGCATCCTGCTTTGACTTCCCAGAGAAACATCATTATGGTCTCTGTTTCTTTCTATTTTTTAATATATTTTTTATTGATTTCAGAGTGGAAGGGAGAAGGAGAGAGAGAGAGAAACATCAATGAGAGAGAATCATTGATCGGCTGCCTCCTGCACGCTCCCTACTGGGGATCAAGCCCTCAACCCGGGCATGTGCCCTGACCAGGAATCAAACCGTGACCTCCTGGTTCATAGGTCGATGCTGAACCACTGAGCCACGCCAGCCAGGCTAGTCTGTTTCTTTAGCAACCACTATGTTAGGTGCTTTACTTATATTTATTTTATTTAAGCCTCACAACATATTGACTTGGTATTATTTCCTCTAATTTCACAGATAGGTAAAGAGGAGCAGATTTGGGTAACTCATTCAAAATCCCACGTCTATAAGGGGCAGAACTCAGAGCTGAAGTCAGAGTGGTCTGCTCCCAGGGGCCACTTTGACTGTCTCTGGGAGCGTCCGTGGGAAATCCTATCCTCTCAGTGACTCTTTTCTCCCATCTCCGAACATTGGCCTGCACCCTGTCTGCTGTCTTCATGAGCCTTCTGTACTGATGAGTGAGACTTACAAATGCTCAACAGCCATTTTTAAAAAAATATATGTTTAATTGATTTCAGAGAGGAAGGGAGAGGGAGAGATAGAAACATCAGTGATGAGAGAGAATCATTGATTGGCTGCCTCCTACATGCTCCCTACTGGGAATCAACGAATCGAACTGTGACCTCCTGGTTCATAAGTAGAGGCTCAACAGCCAATTTTTTTAAAGTTTATAATCGAATTTTTATTAAAACAAATGTGGATTCAGAGTAATTAGGAGCTTGTCCAATATCCAAAATTGTATGTCTCTAAATATTAATGAAGCTGGCATTTTTTTTCCAGCTTTGCCTCAAAGCTATTGCATTAGAAAATCTGAGTGGTAATAAAATACCAACTAAAAAGAGGTTGCATGAATCTCATTTAAAAACCAGCTTTCCGTCCAGCCAGTGTGGTTCAGTGGTTGAGCATCGACCTATGAATCAGGAGGTCACAGTTCAATTCCCGGTCAGGGCACGTGCCCAGGTTACAAGTTTGATCCCCAGTGGGACCACGTCCCTGCTAGTCCTCAGCAGATCATGCTCTGACCTTGTCCAGAGCCATGCGTCGGCTCACTGCTGTCACCTAGCCCACGACTGATGCGTCTTCATTTCCTAAAACGATCAGGCTCTCTCAGTGCCCCTATTCCCCGTAACCTACTTATTCCTTTTTCCTACTGTTTGACTCTTGTTGGGGTTTTTCTCCATGATAGATATTATCACACTCTCCCGGATCTCAACCATTATCCCAGGTTCTTTGTTCCCCGTACTTTGTCAGATACATACACCGAATATTCTCATTAATTCAAACCAATATGTATTGCAATTCAGGGCTGGCCAGTGAGATTTGGCCTGACCTTGATAACATTTTTATTGCCTAGTTTCTTATTCAAATAACATTGAAACTAAAATCCAAGTATTTCCGAGCCAGAGGGGAGGGGCTTATTATTTACCAGGGTCCTTTAGAGGAAATGAAAAGGGCTGGGACAAACATGGTCTTTTCCAGAATTGGCCTTTCCCTTCCTTTCCTTTTTTCTTTTTTTAAAAAAATACATTTATTGATTTCTTACAGAGAGGAAGAACGAGGGATAGAGAATTAGAAACATCAATCAGCTGCCTCCTGCACACCCCCCACAGGGGATGTGCCTGAAACCAAGGCACATTCCCTTGACCGGAATCGAACCTGGGACCCTTCAGTCTGCAGACCAACGCCCTATCCACTGAGCCAAACCACTATGGCTATATCAGTTCCTTTTAATTTGTTAAGTGATGGATAAAACACAGTGGTATAAATAATCCAAAACTAACAGGTAAATCAAAAGAGTGTTAGAGTTTTATAATTGGTTTATTTTATTCCAAATCATGGTTCATAGAGATGTTATGAGTTGAATGCTCATGAATAGATTGGATGGGGAAAAAAATAATGAATTTTTTTTAACACCAATAAGCCATGGCATTCTTTACTAAACTAGTCATTTTGCCATCTTTAAAGTGTTTTTTTTTTAATGTTTTTATTGATTTTAAAGAATGAGGGATAGAGAATTAGAAACATCAATGAGAGAAACATCAATCAGCTGCCTCCTGCACACCCCCCACAGGGGATGTGCCTGAAACCAAGGCACATGCCCTTGACCGGAATCGAACCTGGGACCCTTCAGTCTGCAGGCCGACGCCCTATCCCCTGAGCCAAACCGGTTAGGGCTTCCTTCCTTTTCTATACAACCAACCAGCCAGCCAGCCAGCCAACCTGTGTCTCCATTTCTGAGCTTAGTTACAAAGCCAGGTACTAGGTATAGGGCTTCCTTCCTTTTCCATACAACCAACCAGCCAGCCAACCTGTGTCTCTACTTCTGAGCTTAGTTACAAAGCCAGGTACTAGGTCATTCAACGAAAGGAAATGTACACAAACCAAATCAGCCGAAGTATGAAAGCGAACTTCAAAAGAGGAAGTCCAGCCATTGTGTGGGTTTTTATCCCAGTGGCTCAGAAGATCTGGCCATTGTCCATGGACTCCCAGGGCCCAGGTGGGGTCTTAGTCTTGTCCTTGCTCTGAACTGGCCATGGTGGCCCCCAAGGCTTTAGGATGAGACCGACTAGGCAGCTCTGCCTCCAGGGTCCTGCCTGGCCTCTGGTCTGGGCTTCTGATCATGGGACACTAATCTGAAGGCTGTTTCTCTCCTCCTTTGCTCTGGTTCCTGGTCTGGGGAAAATCTGTTATTTCCTATTTACATTACCCAGTTCCTCTCTGGTTTAAACTTAGATCACCTGGGTTTGGGCCTGACCAGGAAGCATTGTATGTGGCTGGGTCCGTCCTTTCAGTGACCTCGGCTTCCCTATTGTCAGAGTTCACTCAGCCTGGTCTCGAAGTGTGGTTCACCCTAAGTGGGAGTCACGTCTGTATGTGTTTACACCTACATCTCTAACAGCATCCTTCATTCACTCGTTTAGCCAACAAATATTGACTATCTATGGGCAGGGCATTGCCTCTCTGGGTGAGACCAAAACATCGTCCTACTCTAAAGTGCCTCTTCCTTCACACCTGGCCTGGTCTCGGGTGACTTTTTTCTGTCTTACCCATTCATGACAGTCTAACCCAGTGGTTCTCAGCCTTCCTAACGCCGCGACCCTTTAATACAGTTCCTCATGTTGTGGTGACCCCCAACCATAACATTATTTTCGTTGCTACTTCATAACTGTAGTTTTGCTACTGTTATGAATCGTCATGTAAATATCTGATATGCAGGATGTATTTTCATTGTTACAAATGGAACATAATGAAAGCATAGTGATGAATCACAAAACAATCTGTAATTATATGTGTGTTTTCCGATGGTCTTCGGCGACCCCTGTGAAAGGGTCGTTCGACCCTCAAAGGGGTCGCGACCCACAGATTGAGAACCGCTGGTCTAACCCATGTCCCCAGGTGAGAGACGCTCAGGTTGCTCAGGGCAGGCCCAGCCAGAACCACGTGAGATTTCCATAATGTGAAGAGTGGAAATGAATAGATTCTCTCCAAGAGAAGAAGGAGCCAATACTACCGAGAAGAGTAGCCGTGTGAGGCTACAGAGATCGGGAAGATGGCAATACATCCAGTAAAGGGAAGAAAGCTATTAGGTGCCAGGAACGTTCTGATCTGTGTTTATTTAATTGGAAAAGCCATCACTTGCCGTGGGTGTTTACAAATGAAACAGGCTCAGAAAGGTTCATGGATCTACCTGAGGGCACGCAGCGACTGCCTGGCCCAGCTGGGCTTCGAGAGCCCATATTTTTACTCCAAGCCTGGGGCTCCTCCCACCCTCTCACAGCTGCCTGGCTGAAGGTGGGAAGGGGAGGAGAAGAGGGAGGGCGGTTCTTCCCTCTTTTCTCTTTGTTCAGGGGCCTTAAAGCGTAACTGAATGACGAAGCCGATGCTGGAGCCTGAGGTTGGGGTCTGACAGGCCCACCCTGGCTTGTCCCTCAACGGCCAACTCTCCCTTTGCAGAGCTGCACCAGGCCAACAGCTCCCCGCTGCTCCGGGGCAGCCCCCCTATGGAGCTCTGCGCCTGGGAGGCAGGAAATAAAGGCTCCAAGAATCTTTCCCAAAGCCCAGGTGAGAGGAAGTGAGGCGGTGAGGTGGGGTACAGGGGCCCACCAGCCCCTACAGCCGGCTTCCGCTGTCCTTGAGGAAGCTGACGGGTGGGGTGTAGGGGCAGGAAGCTGAGGGGAGGGCTGGGCAGGGGGCAGGCTGGGGTGAGGGGCTGATGGGGGTTCCGCTATTCTCATGCCCAGGCTATTGTTCCCCAGGACCCGTGCCCCGAACTCTGGTTGCCTGGCGGGCCCTGGGACCGCAGATCCTCAGCTCCTCCAGCGAGCTGACTTGTCCTCTCTCGCCAGCACCCCTCTCTTCTCATGAACCCCCCACTCAGAATCAACAGACCCAGTAAGAGGGCATGGGGTCCAAAAGCCGGGGTAGGGTGGGATGCGGTGAGGGAGGGGTGGACAGGGGCTGGAAGGACCCCACTAACCATCCTGCCATCTGTCTCACCCCATCAGGCACGTGGCAGAGCCCCGAGCTCCCTCCCCTCACCCCCTGTCAACAGCCCTCACCCCCACCTGCAGGCCCTCCAGTACCGCCAGCCACTCCAGCCACCGGGCCTCCTCCCTGTCCGGTCCCAGCCCAACCTCCAGTCGCCTGTCCAGCTCTTCGCTGTCATCCCTGGAGGAGGATCAGGACAGTGTGCTGACTCCTGAGGAGGTGGCCCTGTGCCTGGAGCTCAGTGAGGGTGAGGAGACCCCCAGGTGAGTAGGCCCGTATTACAGTATGCTTGTCCCTGCCTCGTCCCACTCTTCCCGGAGGAATGGTCCCGCCCTACCGCACCTCAACAATCCTACTGTCTCCCATGTTGCCTCCTCCTAGGAACAGCGTCTCTCCTATGCCAAGGGCTCCTTCACCCCCCAGCACCTACGGGTACATCAGCGTTCCCACAGCTTCAGAGCTGGCAGACATGGGCAGAGCTGCCGGAGGGGTAGGGTCCGAGGTGGGGAGTTTGCTGTGCCCACCTCGGCCCTGCCTCACCCCCACCCCCAGTGAGGGCTCCCTGGCCAATGGCTGGGGCTCAGCCTCTGAGGACAATGCCCCCAGTGCCAGAGCCAGCCTGGTCAGCTCCTCGGACGGCTCCTTCCTGGCCGATGCCCACTTCGCACGGGCCCTGGCAGTGGCCGTGGACAGCCTTGGCTTTGGTCTGGAGCCCAGGGAGGCGGACTGCGTCTTCACAGGTACGTCAGCTCACCCTCACCCCTTGGCGTGGGCGCAGCCCCTGTAAGACCCCCTTCTTCCCAACCAGGAGGCCACGTTCCTAGCCATGGTCTTCCTCACGGTCTTTGTCATTGTCCTCAGAACAGCCAGTTTTCATTCAATGATGACTGCCTCCCAGGCTCTAGGCCAGTGACGGCGAACCTATGACACTGTTGACATGGAGATGATGTCAACTCATTTTTTTGGTTGATTTTTCCTTGTTAAATGGCATTTAAATATATAAAATAAATACCAAAAATATAAATCCTTGTTTTACTATGGTTGCAAATATCAAAAAATTTCTTTTCTTTTCTTTAATATATTTTATTGATTTTTTACAGAGAGGAAGGGAGAGAGATAGAGAGTTAGAAACATCGATCAGCTGCCTCCTGCACATCTCCTACTGGGGATGTGCCCGCAACCCAGGTACATGCCCTTGACCGGAATCGAACCTGGGACCTTTCAGTCCGCAGGCCAACGCTCTATCCACTGAGCCAAACCGGTTTTGGCCAAATGTCAAAAAATTTCTATATGTGACAAGGCACCGAGTTAAGTTAGGGTTTTTCAAAAGGCTGACATGCAGAGCTCAAAAGGTTCACCATCACTGCTCTAGGATAAGCACTGTGCATGCATTCAATGACCCCTCTAGGGGGAATGCTCTTTATTCTTTTCCAAATGAGGAAACTGTAAGTCAATCAGGCTTATTAACTTGCCCAAGGTCACCCCCTGAGAACAGGGACCGACTGTTCAAGTCTGAAGCCTGCAGGCAGCCAAGTGCGACCCACCCCCCTACCTGAAGGCCCCTGCCCCGCCTCACCCAGACAGGGGTCTCCAGGAAGGGTGGCTCCAGCCCCTGTGGTTCACTCCAGCCCAGTGTTCAGGTTCCTCCTCACTGTGGGACGTTCTGTCTCCTCTTACCCCCCCCTACCCCCGCCATGTGGGAAGGAGCCACCGGGCTCACCCTTCACTGTCTAGTGGAGTGGGACCATCATCTCCATGTCCACAGAGGCAGTCAGGGCTCCCCTTAGCTGTTCCCTGCCTCATCTGCTCTATCAGATCCCCTGTTCCCGTTGTATGAACCCTAACTCTGCCCTATGGCTTGTGATGCACGAGAGAGCAAGGGTTATCCAGGGCAGAAGTTCCCCTAACGGAGGGAGAGGAGGACGCGGGGAGTGGGAGAGGATGGGCAAAGGCCAGTTCGAAACACTCTCTCTAAAGAAACGAATGGTTCCTGTCCCTGGGGCCAGAGACACTGAGACTGATGGGCCAAGTTGGGGTTAGATTGCACTTAGGGTTGGGTGTCTGCTTTGAGTTGGCCCCAAGCTTTGTTCCCTAAACCGGTTCCCAGGGGTGAAGGCCAACCCTCCACAGATATCTCTGCCCCCACACAGGAGCCTCATCGCCCCCCTCCCCCCGGGATGACCGCTTGCTGACTCGCACCCTCTCCCTGCCCCTGTGGGAGTGGAGGTCAGACTGGCTGGAGGACCTGGAGAACAGCCACATCCAGCGACTGGGCAGAGGGCTGCCGCCCTGGCCCCCCGACTCTTAGAACTCTCCCCAGAGAAGCCATCTCCGCTGCGCTGCCCCCAAGGCTGGCCGTAAGTGTCCGTCTGCCTGGCTTGTGTGGTTCTGGGTGGAGCCGTGAGGGAGCCGGGGGTCTTCAGGAGACACAAGGAGCAGGGGGATGACTCCACTCTCCTCCAATTCTCCTAGAGACTCGCCCTGAGGCATGTCCCCGAGACTCCCCACCCCAGCCCCCCAAGAAGAGACTCAGAACTCCCTCTCCTATCAGCCACGGGCCCTGAGGAGGGCTGGGCCCTGGACTGCAGATCTTGGTCGGTGCATCTCTGCCCTTGGGTACATCTGGCCTCCAGGAGAGCTCGCCCTCCTCGACCGTGAACAGGAATGAAGAAACACACAGTCACAGCAAAGCAGACCCGGAGCCCCCGGAGCGGAGAACGGTCTCCACCTGGCGCCTTGCTTGTCCTCGGCTCTGCCCAACCCCACAACCAAACTGTCTGGCTCAAGGAGCAGCCCATCTCCTGCTCTCCCACCCACGGGGATCATGAGACATGGGGGAGCCAGGGGTCTTTCTGGGGAGCAGCGGCAGCTTGTGGGGGTGGGCCGTGGAGGAAGGGGCTCCTCAAGCCTCCCCTCAGCCTCACTGGACCGTGTTCCGTAGAGGGGCTCCACCACCCCCCCACCACCCCCACACACACACCATGTAAAGGAGATACAGAGCAGAGCCCTGAGCCACGAGGCCCAACCCAACACCAGGGCAAAGTCCCAGGCGGACCAGGGAGGGAGCTCCAGGGCGGGAGGTGGGGAATGGGGACAAAACCACCCTCCCCACACTGCTGTCAAGTGAGCCCAAGGAATTAATACTATGACATGGCAATGCCCTGAGTTCTGTGAGCTCTTTTCCCGGAGCGTCGTTTGGCGGGGAGAGGGGGGCACGTGGAGATAGAGAAAGAATTGCCTGAACTGGAAAGGGAGCAGGCATTCGCTGACACTGGGCCATGTCACTCATCCCTGTCCAGGAACTAAGGGGAGAATTATGTTCATCCATCCGATTGGAAGCAGGACCCAGGCAAGGGAGGGCTGGGCATGGTCAGGGCCTGCTGGTCTTGGCAACTGTTCCCGAGAAGACAACTCCTGCCTCCAGCCGCCCCAGCCCCCTCCCCAGAGACCAGTCCCAGGTGGTTTCTTAAAACAAAGTAGCTCATCCCACCAAAGGTAGAGCCACCTGTCATGATTGGCTGGTGCACATCCTTCCACCAGAACCACAGAGCAAACCAGTGGTGGCTCGGGACTCCCGGGGCCTCCGCCACAGACAGCGGAGGGGAGCAGGTGACGGCGTCTCTCCCACGTGGCAGGAAAGGTCAAGGGCAGAATCCTCAGGTTGGGGGGGATAAGCATGAGCAGGGTCACAGGAAGATGCCTTCAGGGAGGGCCCATTGGAAAGGGCCCCGAGAGGGGGTGATCATCCCCCAAAGCCCTGTGGCTCTACTGGAGGCCACGCTCCTTTGGAGGCTGAGAAGGAGGGGCCCGGGGACGGTGCTGCCCGGACTACCCTGGCCTGGCCAGTCTGGGCTGGAGGGTGTGACCTTGGAGGAGGGAACCGCACTGCAAATAACCATTCTTCCTCTCCTACTGATTTTCCTTTCCGGGAATCTGCTTTTCTTTTAGTTTCCTGGTAACATTCCTTTAAAAAATATTCCAACCATGTCTGCTAGCCCGAAGGAGAGAAAGGGGTTGTACCCACTTAGGACGAAGTGGCAGGAGCGGTCAGAGCCTGGGCATGCGGGCAGTGGCAATCCCGAGATCCCAGGGGGGGTCCCTGAGTCGGGGGAGAGCAAACGGGAAGGAAACAGGCCTCAGCTTTACCTGCGAGTGGCACTGGCTGTGCGTGGGGGAATGATGGGGACCCTGGCACCCACGGCCAAGATAGTTTAAAATTCTGTGCCAGCCAAACCATCCCATCTGGGCCGAACCTGCCAGGAGGTGCCTGTTCGCACACACCCTCCATGAGGAGGGGCTCAGAGGTTTGGAAAGCCGATTCCTCTTTTTTTTTTTAACGCTCAGCTGAGGATGTTCTTCCGTTGATTCTCAGACAGAGTGGGAGGGAGGAAGGGGAGAGAGAGACATCGATTGGTTGCCTCCTACATGCACCCCGTCTGGGGCCAGGGATTGAGCCTGCAACCAAGGTTTGACCGGGAATCAAATCGAGATCCTTGGGTCCGTGGGCTGGTGCTCTAACCACTGAGCAAACTGGGTCAGGGCCTGTTTTCCCCTCTTGACCAGGGTTCCCCCATGAGCTCCTCCTTCCTTTGAGTTTAAAAGTTATTATTACGCGGGCATATTTCCTCGCAAGAAAGAAGCAGCACCCAGAGGAGGCACGAAGGGAGGGCCTGACTTAGCTCTCCGAGGACAGGACAAGTTTCTCGCGGTTCGTTATTTGGAAAGTCTTTCTGGTTGTCACTGGGGGGGGGGACAGTGACTTCAGCTACTTCAGGAGGCGGGACAGGCGGGGTCTCTTAGCCCAGTCCTCACCTAGAGTTTTGACAGAAGTTCAAAAGGAAGGGCCCTGATATACACCCCCTAGTGGCCCCTCCTGCCCTGTATCCCGTGCGAAACCGGACGATGGCCCAGCACGTCACTTCAACTCTTTATTGTCTTTTTTACAAACGGGTCTCAGGTCGGTAGGATGGAAACGGAAGAGCTGTCTCCTGGCTTCTCAGCCGGTCCTCAGGGAGCCCCACCATCACTGCCGGGAGGGAAGAGACCCCTCCTCCTCCTCTTTGCACCCCCTCATTTACCAGGGGAGGGGCTCCCATCCGGGCTCCGGGCCCGGGACAAGCCTTTCCCCCACGGATCTGCTGATTCTCCATCAGGCGTTATCTTGGCTCCTAGAGAGAGACGCACAGGCTGGATGGCAAGGCCTGGCCCACAGCAAACAGACCACGGGAGGCGATCGCCAGGCTGATTTCTCACCCGCCTCCCCGACCCACTTCTCTGGAGCCCAGCCTCCTCTGCACTGTGGCATCTGCCTTCACCCTTTGTCACTGTTCCCCAAGACTCCCCCAGCCCCTCACTCGCTGGGCCGCCTCCTGTCCACACTTCCCCTGCAAGCCCTTCTCTATCTCCCTCTTCCCAGTCATCCCTGTCCTCCACTCGCAGTTTCTCCACCCCTAGCCCCCACCTCTCGGCATTTCCGTCCGGGCCTTTGGCTCTGGCTCTGGCTCCGGCTGCGGCTGCGGCTCCGGCCAGGGCCCCGGGAGCCCCGAGAGCTGCCGGAGCCCCTGGAAGAGTTGCTGGCGGTGGAGCAGGTGCTGGCGGCCTGGCCCCGGGACAGGAAGCTTGGCCGGCTGTAAGGGAGCCAGGCCTCCTCTGCAGCACAAGAGAAAAGAGTAGCTGGGCCCAGGCAGGGGGCAGGACGCCACTCCTGGCCCCCTCCTGTGCCACCCTACCCTCCTCCCACCTCTGGAAGGAGAGTTGAGGGCAGGCAAAGGGCTCAGGCCATCCTGGGGTTGAGAAGCAGAGCGGCCAGTACAGGGCCTTGACATCACACACGCTCAGAACCCTGCAGGGAACACCCACCCCTGTTCTCCTCTCACTGAGGCTGGTCCTCAGAAAGGATACGACTGGGGAACCTCAGGGGATTTTGCTCAGAGGCAGCTGGAGAGACAAGTGCCTCCGATGTGGATCAAATGCATGAACCCAATGAAAGAGAGGGGTGAGCTGGGTTGAAACTAGCCCATCATCGGCCCCGTCTGCACTGTACTCCAGTCCTAAAGCCCACCTTCTATAGCCGCGCCCTCCAGCCCGCCCTGGCCTCCTTACCATCCGGGAGGGGTCCCCGATGGGCCCCCAGGGGCGCCCCCTGCACCCCTCTTCTCTCCCCGCTGCGCTCCCGTTCCAAGGAGGACATGCTGCCTGCTGCTCTCAGCCCTGAGGCCCAGCCTGTCTCTTCCTCTGGTGGCGGCAAGGGCGGTGGGGGCAAGTCTGGGGAGAGGCCTGTTTCAGCAGAGGGTCCCACTCCCCTGGTACCAGTCCCTCCCACTCCCATTCCCTGGCGCCAGGAGGCTGTGAATGAACAGCCCAGGATGTGGGTTTGCCTGCTCCCCACCTCCAGCCTTCAGAGCCCCCCCTTGGTTTCTGCCCATGTCCGCTACTGTCTCCACCCCCAGACCCATGGCCCCTCACCCCCAGGACTGTGCTCCCGCCGGTAGGGCACGGCCTTGGGTTTCTTCCGATGGGCGCGGGGCCCTTGAAGTGGCGGAGTCATCTCCCTCGGTGCCTGCCGGGTTCTCCCTGTAGCGTTAGGAGAAGGGAAGAGGAGCAGGTAAGAGAGAAGGTCTAGAAGGGACTTCAGGAGGCGGTGGGATGAGGTGAGGGTTCTGTAGACTCACCTGGGGCACTGCTGGCGGTGCTAGGGACAGGGCTGGCACTGAAGTGATAGGCCGCTGTGGGGCCAGCCCCGGGGCCAGCAGGCCTCACCTCCTGGCTGTTCAGAGTGGGCTGGGACACACTGAGTGGGGAACTGGGCTCAAGGGGCAGCCTCCTGCAAGGACATAAGGCCTTAGCACTTGTTCTCTCAACAAACACTAAGCACCTACTGTGTGCCAGGCACTGTGTTAGACACTCGGCCTAATACTCAAATGAACAAGACACGGCCGCCCCCACCAGGCTCCCGAGCTAGTGGAACATGAGGAAAGCCATGTCTTTGAAACGCTCCCGGGAGCTGGCAAATTCCCTCCGAGGGAGAAACAGTCTGAAGGGAGTGAGAGGTCTTGTTAGTCTCCAGGTTTCTTCCCAAATCATACTTCCACCCTCATGCACCCCAGATCCACCCATCCATCCTTCCATCCATCCATCCATCCATCCTTCCATCCATCCTTCCATCCATCCATCCATCCATCCTTCCATCCATCCATCCATCCATCCATCCATCCATCCATCCATCCACTGAACAGATGTGTGCCGAGGGCCTATAACGTGCAAGGTACCATGTGCCTCCCTACCTGGGCATCTGGTGGAGATGGGGAATGTCAGTGAGGGGCTGCGGAGGGTCGGGAGGTGATGGGGTGAGAGTGGCTGTGGACTGCTGTCCATAGGAAGGTGTAGGGGAGGGGGTCTCCCCTCGGGACACAGGAACCAAGCACCCTCCGCTGGAACTGGGCTCGGCCAGGTGGCTCCTCTCAGGCACCACCGGGGGACACCACTCTCCTGGCTCTGAGCTGGGGAAAGAGGCAGGAGGTGAGGGTGAATGAGGAGCTTCCATATCCTTCCTGGGCCCTCCAGTTGCCAGCTCCCTTCCTCTCCAGCTCTCTGCCCTCTCAGCAGGCGGCCAGGGCTGGTCCCATGCACAGGACATCTGCAGCCAGAAGCATCCTTACCCGCCCTCGAGGTCCTCCTCAGGCCCCTGGAGGCAGCTCAGTTCACAGGAAGGAGGCGGTGGGGGCAGGGCTTCTGGCCAGTTGAGGGAGGGCATCTGCACAGGTTTCCCCAGAAGCTTCGCTTTGCCGGCCCTGGGCCCTGAGCAGAGCAGGAAAGGGGCAGAGGTGAGACCTGTCAGAAGCAAATGCTGGGCCAGGTCCCGAGGAGTGTGGGGCGAGAGGCCCGGGAGGCCTACCGCTGTCCCCCTGGCTCCATTCCGGGGGCGCATACTGGCTCCAGGTGCTCGGGTCCCCGGAGGAGTTTGGGGGGAAGCCCCCATGGAAGGTCTGCAGCTCCTCCCCGGCTGGGTCAATGGTGCTGTAGACAGGACCCTCGGGGGAGGCGGCCGCGCCCCGGGCCGTCTGAGCCAGGTACAGGGAGATCCCAGCTTCTGAGGAGGAGAAAGAGGGGGCCCAGGGAGGAGGCAGGGCGGACACAGAGAAACAGGACAACAGGAGAATGGAGGGCAAAAGGAAACCCCACCGGGTCGCTTCTTCCCCCACCCCAAACCTTACTCCCAAACCAGGGTACAGGTGGGGCCAGAGGGACACCCCCACTCACATCCTCCTGAGGACTGACCAACCTCAGGAGCACTGGGGCTCCCTGCAGTGTACCCCGGTAGGTGGAGTGGAGAGAAGGTGCCGGGGCCACACGGGCTCCCGAGGGAAGGAGAACTCCTCACCATTGTAATATCTGTCGTCTGGGTCGGGATTGCTGGGGCAGCAGCCCCCCCGGGGTTCCTGGGCAGAGGGGCTTCGAGATGGGTGGGGCCAGGAGTCTGCCAGCCAAGGGTAGGGAGCAGGGCCGAGGCCCCCGGGTGGCCTGGGGGAGAGCATGTGGACACTGGGGTGGACAGCCCGGAAGGCCTGGGAAGTAGAGGAGGCAGGGGCAATGGGGGGAGGGGGGAGAAGTGGGGTGGTGGGCACGTCAGCTGAGGAGGCAGTGAGGCCTGGAGAGGAAGGGGTGCGGCCTGTCCCTGGAGGGGACTATCCCTGGGAAGGAAGTTGAGCGAATTACCTGGAACTGGCTCCCGAAAGGCCCTCCGAGTGTGGGAAGGACACTGGGGAAGATGAGGGGAGACTGGATGAGAGAAGAGCCCGGGCTGGGGTGTGAACCCCACAGGGCAGTCAGTGGTGGCTCACCTGCAGGCGTGTAGGCGAAGGAGGCTTCCAGAAAGGATCCCATGGGAGAAAGGAGAGGGGAATGGAAAAAGGGTCAGAAATAGCCACCCTCTTGTCCACTCCTCCGCCCGCCCGTCCCAATTCCGCCACTCGGGCTGCACCCTGGACCGATTTCATCAGAATCGCTAGGAGTGAGAGGGACTCGGGCATTAGTATTTTCCTAAAGCTCCCCAGGTGATTCCCATGTGTAGCCAAGACTGGGAACCGCTGGTCTAGATGCTCTCAGATCTCTCCAGATGCGCCGGAAGGGGGTGGGGGTGGGGGACTGAGAGGGTAGCAGCGGGGCCTTTCCACCCAAACCCTGGCTCAGGTATTGCCTGGGTCCTGGCCACACCCCTCCTACCAGGCCCAACCCTCACGAGTATGTCTTCTTAGACTCACCCCCTTTATTTATTTTTAAAAATATTTTTATTGATTTCAGAGAGGAAGGAAAAGAGAGAGATAGAAACATCAATGATGAGAATCATGGATCAGCACCCCACACTTAGTTGGAGCCCACAACCCGGACCTGTGCTCTGACCAGGAATCCAACCGTGACCTCCTGGTTCATAGGTCGATGCTCAACCACTGAACCACACCAGCCGGGCTGACTGCAGAGCCTGCTCTCTCCTCCCTTGGCGTCTTCAGGGTTAAGTCTTACCCCTTCCCAGGCTCAGGTCCCGCCCCCTCCCGGCCCCGCTCCTCTCCC